TTTTGAGGTTCAGAAAGTGAAGATGGTTGCCAGAAATGACACATCTGTGCCTAATTTATACACTAATATTTGTTTTTTGTAACGTGGCATTTTTCTCCAGGTTGGAGAGCGTTGTGGGATTCTGGAAGTACCTTCATCACAACAGTGGACACTTTATTAGAGACATTTAAGCAATCTAATACAATCCAACCCCACAGCTCTGCCACAAGTTCTACTTTTACAAAGCTTCTACATTTGTAGTTTTTGTTAATGCTGTCAGAAAGAGAATAAATTTACTCAAAGTTTATTGTTACACATGAGTGTAGTGGTTTGAATTAAGAATTACATTTAAAACTGGAAATAGAAAAACCACTAAACTTCTATCCTGTCATGAAAAAATAAAATAAAAAATACTATTAAAAATAAAAAATAGTTACATGAAGAAATTCTAAGGTTAACAAGGAAAAGCACTTATATGTTTTTACTACAGAATATTTAATGTGTAATGTAAAAACATCTCTATAGTAGCAGACATTAAAAGCCAGAATTTTATAAATAATTTTCAGGTCAATGTTCTTGTTTTTGTCACTCACAAAAATTAGCTACAGAAAAATAAATGTTGAGAAGTTTTTAGAATCTAAATAAACATATTTATAAATAAAAAATAATTTTAAATAAAAAAACAACTACAATATTGGCCCTAAACAATAAAAAATGAGAAGAAAATATATCAAAGTGAGTGTAACCCACTAAATTATGGGTGAAAACCCATCAGACACATAAACATAAACATTTTTATTAATTGCTGTTATTCTTAATTTGATTAAAACTCAAAGACAAACAAAACATATGGGTAGCTTTGGTTGGAATTTCCACATTACTTTCTGATATAAAGCAGGCGCAGGAATGTTTAATAGAGAGCTGATAATAATGTTGTGAAACCGTAGTAGAGTTCAAAATATTAACATCAAAGCAAAGTGAACATTTCTCAGCTGCAAACTGAGGACGTTGAGGTGCAGCATTAAATGTATTGTAGCTATATACATTTATTTTATGTTAATATTTTGCACAACAAGATGTCTTTCTGCATGCAGCGATATGAAAAGGCTCCACTGTTGAGTAAAGATGCTTTTAGCAAACTAAAGCCTTCGCGGCGCCTGAAGACAGTTCTGCTGTGTTGCTCGTTGTCGGCTAAAGTTGTGCAGATGTACGTGATGTGTTTTAGCATGGAGCAGGCCGGTGGCGTAGTGTGCTTTGCGTCTGGCTGTCTTTTCCGGCTCATAAATAGCGTCTCTCTGAGGGCTGTGGTGAACACCTGTTAGCTCATCTGTCACAGGAGCTCCACTCGCATCCATCACCTCTCCCTCTGTACTCATTCCCTCAGCCAGCTGTTCCCATTACACACACACAGCCGCTGTGTCAGGCCTGCCAGATACCGACGCACACACTCCTCGCTTTCCTCAACATCACACGGATACACGCAGAGAGGGTTTTCAAACATATCTGCACACGTTACAAGTTACTTCACAAAAAAACGAACAGCGCACTGTCCTCTTCCACTGGAACCGACAGACAGCGGTGGGATTGTGAAAGTGGCTCGTGGTGAAGCTTTAGTACTGATCTTTTATGTCACAGAGGAAAACAACAACATGCTGACATGGCAGTATAGACAGCCATGTGTCCAGGCCATATTTCTAGATTAATGGTGTAGAAAAAGAAAGAGTGTAAGTCACATTCTTGTGGTGCATGTTGTGTGCAAAGGAGGTCCAATAAGAGAAGTGAGAGATGTTCAGGTTGAAGTCAGCCAGTGATTTAGCTGATGGGTCAGCAGTGGTAAATGAGAGCCCAGTGGAGGAAACTGAGAGGTCAGCAGGATCTCCTCCTCGAATCACTCGCTCACCGAACTCGTCTTTCATTCAGTAAGCCAAGTTACTCTCATGGCTACCATGGCAACTGATTAGATACCTAACAGACTTTGCTAGTCGCTAGCATGCCCAAGCTTATCACTACCATCCATACGATAGCCTCGAGCATCCCTGTGCTAATAATGAGCATCCCAAGGCTAGTCACGAGCACCCACACATTAGAGAATAGCATTTCATGGCCAGTGACTAACATCCCGTTGACTTGTGACTATCATGCCTGGGCTAGTGATGAGGATTTCCAGGCCAGTGACTAACATTCCTGTACTGCTGATTAGCACTCCCAGGCTTGTCACTTGCATCCATAGGCTAGAGACTAGCATTTCTAGGCTATGACGAGCATCTGCAGGCTGATGATTAGCATTCTTAGCATCCTATATCCTTGGACCTATAACCAGCCTGTGTCTTTATGCCGGTGATCAACGTCACTAGGCTAGCCACAAGCATCCGTAGGTTGAACACTATCATTTCTAGTGCTAGTGACTGGTATTTATTTGGTTTTTGACTAGAATTCCTTTACTCTTCATGAGCATTTCTATACTATTTACAAGCATTCATTGGCTAGTCATTCGCATTCCTCAGGAACATTTACATACACGCTGGGTATAACATGCAGGTGAAGTGTACATTGTCACTTTCAAATAAAAAAAAAGTAAATTCCATCCATCCATTATCTATACACCGCTTAATCCTCACTAGGGTGGCGGGGGGCTGGAGTCTATCCCAGCTGACTTACGGCGAAGGCAGGGAACACCCTGGACAGGTCACCAGGATAAAGTAAATTGGTAAATAAATATTTCTAAAATGACACAAAGCAGAGATAGACATGAGCTCCTCTGGCATCACAGTAGTCTACTTTTTGGCGCACTGGTGCTCATCAGTTCCCCTTCTTTGAGCATTAACTGTGTGTCCTCATATTTGACTTGAACAAACAAGGTCAAGTTTAAAAATTGTTACTTATTTCCTTCTAACACACAGTGTCACTCACAAATCACACATGTCCTTCAAAATGGCACTGATGTAAGTTAACTGTGTTTATTCCAAACTAGGCCTAGGTTTAGCGTCATCCACCTAAGACCAACTTGGACAAACCCCAGACCAGAA